TTTTTTCTTTGTTTTAAAATCGCTACTATACATTTTTGATGTTCCGATCTCACAATCAGTAATCTTCATAAACTAGCTGTTATCGTTTTTGTTTATTAATGACATTAATTATTCTCGAATTCGATTTCAAAAGTTTATCTTTGGCCATATTGCGCCTTTTTTTCAATTTGTCTATCGCAGATAGTCCTAAGTGTGTGGTCGTTCAACGCCCTCGATAATTACAAGGATGTGAGAAATTATCTGACAATCGGTACACTAGTCTGGAAATAGCATCATAGTAACAAGATTCACGAATTTGCACATACTAATTAGCTTAGTTGACATGCTGATGTGATGCATTTATGGACGCACAATTATTGATTGTAACTTTTACATACATATATTCAGTTTATTTTCCATTGGAACATTACGGTTGGTTGAATAATAAAAAAACGAAATTCATAAAGATAACATTTAGAATGTACAATCTGAGATGCTGAACACAGTTAAAACACCGTTTGAAACGAACGTTTGTGCCACGAAAGAGGAGTAATACACTCAGGAAACTGATCATTTATGTGCATGTTAGGATGACACCATATAAAAAGTTGTGTGCATAAAAGTGATTTCAGTTAACAGCTCAAGATTTGTTCAGATTGTTCAAAAGGATTGAATTACATTCGAGTCATGTACTAACTTATATACTTCCGTTATATACAAACATGACAATAATGATAAGATCATAGCAAAATGCCTAATACTTATAACAACAGCAATAATCACAGCTATCAAAAGAGTTGGGAGATTGATGAATCGTTCCCGATTGAAACTACATTGAAACCAAATGGCACAAACGTTAGCTTTCACATGTGGGAAACTCAAGAGAATGAGAAACGAAACAAATTCATCGAATAAACAAAAAAGGAAACAATATCGAACAGAAACAACGAAAATAAAAATAAATAAATAATTAATCTCATATAGCACTTCCATAATTGTAATGTGACATATAGGCGTTTGGCTGTGGATAGTAGCTAGCCATTGGATCGTAAACATATGGCTTAACGTCCACCGGTTCAACGTACTTATCGAATGACGGTAGAGGTGTGGGTTGTGGCATCACCGGGGGTGGCATTGACAGCGGGTTGACTGTATGATGCAGGTGCAAACCCCAGGTGGCTTCCAACGATGGCGTTTGTTGAGTTGGCGGAAGGGTTTGGGGCTGGGGTTGTTGCTGTTGGGGTTGTTGAGAAGGTTGTTGGGTAAGTTGGGTTGGTTGGGTGGGTGGCTGTTGTTGCTGTTGAGGGGTTCGTGTGACTTGCTGATGATCAGGATTTAGGACATCATGAGCTTGTTGAGACGGTGATGATACACCACCATCCACAGAACTTCCTTCCTCCTCCTCACCTTCCTCTTCATCCGAGCCTGTTCGCTCACCAGTGAAACCATTCTTGGACATCTTTTTGTGTTTAGATCGTCGATTTTGAAACCATATCTTCACCTGAAAATAATTCTATTACTTGTTACATGCTAACCATTGCTTATAAAATTGCTCATTTCAAATGCTCGCGCGTGTGACATCCATTCAAAAGTGTTGCGTTTAATATGGAACGCGCAAAAATCAGTATTTATTAAAAAAGTTAGGTCGGAACTGGCCGAGAAATAACATCATATCGACAAGATTCATTAGTTGTATGGAATTTGCATATAATAATTAGCTTAGTTGATGTGATGACGTGATCATCTCCTGTTCACCTACTTATGGTCGCATAATCATTGATTGTAATCAGCAACTCTTACATGTATTCAGTTTATTTTTATGTGAATAAGTGAACAAGTGAATGTGAATAAGTTAGATTAGAGTTATTGGAATATCACAAGCTTTACGCGATTATGAATATACCAATTGTTTCTTGCAAATGCCTTACGATTCCTAGACTCGACATCATTTGTGTATATTTTTGGATGATTATTTAACGGCAATATTCTCTTCATGTTCAAACTCATCAGATTTCTTTGTGCCTCATGAGGGAAACTGCTGAGAAATTTCATACTGCCTTCACTACATAGAAGGCAATCGATTTGTTTTGAAATTATAGGTTTTCTACTCACTTCGAAGAATTATCGCACCGTTGAAGCACGTCTATTTTTCAAGATATCATTGAAACCTGTTAGATATTTAATCGCATGCCATTAGCTGCTGAGCACATTTCATTTGCATGCTTGCAGTCAAAATTTTCTCCCTATCAGAAGACAATATACACTAATAAATTCAACCGAAATATATGCGCTCGCACAAAAAAAGGACTTAAAATTCTTATGTCACTCAAATCGGCTGGGCCTTTAGACTTGGGCGGTTGAAGTGTACTGGAAGCTTCGACCAGCGAGATCGCTTGAAACGAATAGTTTCCTCCCCAACATATTGTATGTATTCGCTAACCAAAAAATTCCGAGTTCGACCGAGAGATGTGCATTTTGATGAATACATAATATTTGGTATGCCATCATCGTTGACATCATCATATAACAACAACAATTAAAATGAGCACTGAATCGAAAAGTACAAAATGTAACTTGTGAAAGAATGTTATTGTATTATGCCTACACAGCATTTTGATGACTCCAATAAATCCGATTTCAATGATTTGTGATGAATGAATTCGGTAATGTATTGTGCAAATATCATAATATAATCATATTCATATTATATCATATTCACTGTAAAGATCTACATAAATATTAATTCGATGTACGCATTCAAGGCTGTGTCTATGAAAACGTTAAAGGAACAGCGTTGAAGCGTTAGTTTGATTCACTCAGGATTACGGTAGCTCAAAGGAGAGAGAGAGAGCGCGCAGAATGTCGCGCCAATGTTACGTTCACTCGCTGCTTGCAATATTATAGTGTGTTGCTCTTTTTCTCCGTGTCTCTGATCTCTGATCGCTATTTCATCGTATTTCGTTGTCTATGTTATCAATCTATGCTCGTTGGCTTGCTTGTGTTCATTACCGTATCCGAAAACTTTTCGGACGCATTCATCAGAGGGAATGGAAGGAAGGTCACCACCAGCAACACTGCTCTATTGGATTGGCGGGGTTAAATAGCACACGGGAAGCGATAGAACAGGTCGAAGGTATTGTGACGGATAACGGAATAGGTGACGCGTGTTGAATTGTCATCCGGAGCACATATGTGGTGCCGCATGACGAAGGTGGATGGATGTGCAGAACAGGTATATATCCGTCCATCCAGTCATTCGGATTGATACAGACAAAAAATAGAGATATACGAAGGGAGATAAAACAAAACAGGTGATGAACTGTTAATAACAGGTGCGTTCATAATGTAACGAAAGCAAAAATTGATTCATCAAAAAGATAACGTGAACACATGGCATCTGCTGCTGTGCATGCGCTCGTATTCGTTTCGTTTGAATTTCATTCGCCCTTTCTGTTTTCCATCAAATTTCACGACCAAAAAACACAGATTTCTATTTGTGTATATGCCAAATTCAACTACGCAGTGAATCGATCATTTTGCACATCACAGCATTATTTGGAAGACGACAAGCGCATATTGATGCTTTTATTAGTTTGATGCTTCGAAGACAGAGCCGATGATGAGTGGTGCAAACAAGTGTGAATGAATGTTCGCAGAACAAGTTCGGATTTACAATCAGGAAGTCAAGAAATAAACGGGATATGGCCTCATTGATGATGAACCTTGTGTTCGGTTTGGAGGACGCATCACAAGATGACAATTAGAGTCATGGTCATGAGAACACAATGGATTCGGATTGACAATGACAAGTATGGCTCAACGAAATTCAGATGAATCTGCTATCAGAGGAATTTGATGGCGAAATTTCAAAATCTAAGTTTTACTGAGTGTTCATCGGAGATTCCGAGACTTGCTGATCTCATAAACTTGCATTGGTGCCATCGAAATGTTACCGACTGATCAAAAAGTTAATCAAGGGTTTAGGAAATAGATAGTGATAGGAAGGCAATGTGGAACAATTCTCAATCCTCATCATAACAACATTTCTCATCTGTTGTTACATGTCGTGTGCTTTTGAAAACTTCGAAATTCGGAACAATTTCAGTCCTTTTTTTGAAAATAATTGCAGTCTCACATCATAGCAGCACAATCGATTTTTTTTTGTCTCTATTTGAAAACAGTCAGCAATCATGCAATACTCAAATATTCTCATTGCTTATAGTCTTTTTTGTGAACAAATGATTAGCAAGCGTTTCAAACATTTTTGCTTCCAACTAAAATCTTTTGCTTACCTCTCCAATGTCGTTAGTAGTTTAGAAGAAATTAAAAGAAGACGCGAATAAGAGACACTGAGAGGAATTTAAAAGAAAGTATAATTAAAGGGTAAACGTGACTTGTACTAATGAGTGTAAAGTGATGCTTCGCGAAATTCCTAGCAATAAACTCGTGCATTTATTTGGGATTAACGAAGATTTTTCAGTTTCATTTATTGCCTTGCTTTGAGATGCTTTAATGATCAGAAACTCTGAAGGGTGTCAACTAAGAACTCTAGTGGATAAATCGCTGAGGCTAAATGGATAAGATAGAATTAAAGTTTCATGATGTTCATCTCAAACTTACCAAATGAAAGTGAAAGTGATGTGAATAGAAATGGCATCGGCCATGCTGATTGATTACTGTCACATGTGCATCATGAACAGATGTATGATGAAACATCTATGTGGGAACTGTTTCCGTGAATAATTGACTTAATTAAACTATCAAATGGCATACGATTGTAAGATTTTCACCACCTCTATCGATCCAAACTTCCATTTGATCAATTCAGTGCAAACTATCAAAGAGTTCAATTCGAGACCACGATCTAAATGAATTGAGAATTGATTTTCGAAAGGAAATTTCGTTTGTGCTTCTCCAAAATAACTCCGAATGCAGTTGCGGTGTTTCAGCAGGGTACTCTGGCTAACGATTTTTGGACGTATGAACTTTTGTTGAAATGAAAAGAAATTGGAAACCAGTCTTGTCTCAAATCTGACAACATAACGAATGAGCAAATAGAGCTACCGTATGGCTGAAAAATTTTCAAGATAGCATTTAGAATTAGTGGCTGTATGAAAAATACATTACGTGTAAAATATGAGAGTGAAAATTTTTTGCATACATTCATTCTATTCGAGAATTTCACCATTTCATTTGATATTAACTACTCATTCGATAATCATTTTGAAATGAAACAAAAAGTGAAGTGTTACATGAAGTACAATACAATTTCTCGAACTGTAAACATGAAGTACATCATGGATTTTATAAGACCTATAATTTAAGCACGTATGAACGCATTGAAAACGTTTCTAAGTTTATTGTTATCAGTACAGAAATTAACCGTACCTCACATTCTCTGAACTTCTTTATAGGGCATTGGCATGTATATAATTAGATTCAGGTGCAGTTTATAAACTCGGCGAATCGAAGTGAAAAGAAACGGATTGTAAGAAACGATGAAAAATATACTGGAAAAGTCAGCGAATATCCAAGAGTCGATAGCAATCAGATATAATTGCACTATGAATTTATCACATGTCACATGAAGTTATGAAGTTGCATAAACATATGTTCATTTGGATGGGCAGAAATGGAATTAATTAGGAATTGCGTACGGATCATCCTTCGATGCTATGTTTATCTAGCGAAATCCATTAATGAGCACTCGACAGTGCTCATCACATTCTCAATGAAGATGATGATGTCAATCGTTTAAGTTTGCTATTAAAAGTCTCATTATAAAAGAATAGCAATAACAGTATGTTGCAAGCGAATCTCTCCCAATATGCAATAAACGGCACTGTCCAATATGATCATAAGTAATCATTATAGACATTATTTAATTATATACATGCATCTATGTAATCATAATCAGCAATAATAACAACAATACTATTAATAACGATTATAATGAGCATTAATCAAGTTGATATGTATGAAAACGATCAGTGTAATTATGCAAAAGTTCGATGCTAATGTATTCACCTGAGTTTGCGTAAGACCCAACCGTGAGGCGAGTTCAGCTCGTTCAGGTAATGCGAGGTATTGGGTTTTGTGGAACCTCTTCTGAAGTTCTTGAAGTTGAAGACTCGTATAAATTGTTCGCGGTTTCCGAACGCGTTTTCCTTTTCCGTTTATCCTCACCTCACCGCCTTCGATGATTTTCGTGGAATGCTCAGGAAATGCTGCAATTTTGTTGCCGTTGAGTGGATGCAGATAATGAATGTATCTTGGGATAAACTGAGATATCTTTGAATCGTGAATACGTCCATCTGGAATCGATGCAAAATATTCAGTTTCGTAAACTGTTACATGGCCTGATATTGCGCTATTCTGATAGGATCGCCGTTATCTTATATGTAAAGGCACACTGGTTTACATCCTAATCTTTGAAGAAATTTCATCATTGAAAGGTCTAACAACAACAAGAGTGATCAAGATATCGAGAGTATAGATTTCCAAAAAATGACTGAAATTAGCCGCAACCTTCAGGTGAACTCGCTGATTGATGGTACAAAAAATGCGACGGTGGAGGTTGAGCGCCATACGGCGAGGTGGACGTCGACGAGGGGAATGAAGTTTGATAAAAGTACGATGGAACGGGTGGTGCGTTCCGGGAGAAATCCGATGAGCCAAGCGGTGGATAACAATTAATGGTAGCCGTTGATGGATTATACGGTGGCGGAGGGTAGTCATGAAACGGCTTCTGATCCATATCCATATAAGAATTATTATTATTAGCGGCAGGGTTATTATTGACGTTGTTGGTGAGCGATGAAGTCAACGAATTCAAATTAGCAATTTGTGATGATTGCTGGTTTGAGGTGGAATCTTTCGTCTCGGATTGCGAAGATGAGGACGTCGACGACGACATAATTAAATCTTCGATATTCGTCGATATGCACTGCATACAGTCACTCTCTCCAACTGAACTTTTCTGTATAAAACACCAAACACTTCTGATTGATACGGCAGCAGCGACAACCCGATAATAATAATAATAATCAATTGATGACGAGTCTCCTCCTCGCTACTACTCACAGGCGGTCGTCACTCACATGCGGCGGCTCGTACCTCCTCGCTCACTCGCTCATGCACACCGACCACGCCCGTTCCACGCTTTGATTGGCTCATCAAGATGCGATCCATCTTGTGCACACTCCGGCCAACCAACGCTATTTCCATCTTTTCCGGTAAAGAAAAACCATAATTGGGGTTTGTTCATGCGTCGACTATATCGACTGCGCGGATGATGACAATGTAAGTGATGATGAGGCGAGATTTTTGAAGTATCGTTGGAACGGTAGATGGATTTGTCTTGGTATTGAAGAGTTCGTCAGTGGTATGGTAACACCACGCAGTGACAGTGATAATAAGCGTGGAGATAAGAATATGTCAGATATGCGATAATTACCGGCTGCACTTCCTGAGCATTGTTCATCGCTATCATCAAACAGTCAGCAGTTGATCCTACTTAATTAGTTCGAGTGATTCAATCAAGACAAGATCAACAATCGATCACAAAATTAGTCTGTAATTATCGATCGATCGTTCGTGATCACATACACGTCCACCAGAACATCATAATTATCACCAATTAACATGCTAGAGCCGCAGTTTGATTGCAATCGATTAACTTGAATCTTATTGATTTCGGAGCATCGAGTCGTTGAACAGGATGGCATAATGGATTAGATCAGCGCTTCTTGAGCCTTCTTCATTTGTGATTCCCATTCTCTGATGGAAATTTAACGTAACCACCGTTTCCATATATACGATCCCAACATATCACGAATGTTCTTCGATTATATGTTCAGAAAGTTTGACCACTGCTCAATTTTTCGCAATCTGCAGATCGACAAGTATTTAGAGCTAATATGCTAGCAGCAAAGACAATGAAGAAAATTTACAAAGTTCTTCTAAGCATCGAGCATTTCAAGAGTAATTGAAGAGGCTCCTGAACAAATGTTAGTATATCGTTCGTAGTGTCATTGCTGAGGATTATTGCCGGATATCTGATGATTAAATCATTAGAGAGATCCCTTATGATTACACGACTCATAATTCATCAATCAGTGGTTGTATGAGCAATAAAACAGTTGCAAACTATTCGGTAGTGTTCAAATGTAAAAAATGAGACAATACAATTGGAAACAAACATTCCGAATGTTTAGCTGGAAGGGAATAAAAGCAAACTCTGTGCATTGGGTAAATCGTCACGGATTTCCTACATGACTATCAGAATTTTGTTGATGACTTCATCATATTGGGATGACCAAGATTCTATCGCGATATTTGGAGCAAACCATGACTGTATTGAGAACTTCTGCAATATGTGTAAAATTGCGCATAAATGCAAAGACAACGAACGTTGGTCAAGACAAAAAGGTGATTTAAAAACAAGCAAGCACCGATCGACGTACAAATGACAACTGAATGAGAAAATGAACAAACCATTGAATGCACCAACGATTGAGTGAATGTTTTCACAAATTGTTTTGTGTGTGTGTGTTTGTGCTGTTTGGGGAGCGAATTTTCACAGATTGTCGGCTAAATTGCCACAAAATGACACATAATTTGTGGAATGAAATTGGTTTCGACGCGAAGATAATATTAGTATATTTTAGAGTAATTGCCGTCGTCTTGTCGTTGTCGTCGAAGAATTGCGCTGTTCCTACAGCATGAGCTGTTGTTGCTGCTCTTGTAGCAGCAACAGCACTTAATCCGTTGCTGTTCCTTCGTTCATTCATCGTTTCCTTTACAACATTTCATTATTCTACTCTTGTCTTTTCGATTCACCCTTTCATTATCATCTATATGAATGTATATATACCTTTATTGTACTAAATTACCACGTTCATTCAATACTTCATTCATTCAATACATTGCCATTCATTTAATAATACTATCCTTTAATGATTTTCCTCAAATTATACAGCATTCACCATTCCACACACACAACCATCTTTCATTGTTTATTTTTCATTTCTTACATACACATTGATCCTGGGTTAGTTAGTTAATTTCACATCGATGCCCAAATGCACCACCTAATATGTAAGATTACCAATTGGAAATCTGTTGTGTCAGATGGTTTCATGTTGGATTACGAAATGACTGAGTGAGTTGTTATTATGATTACTATTATTGTTGTTATTAGTGTTTGAGGCTGATTATTAGGTACGTTTACGATCTAATCTAGGCACAACTATCACCATCGTCATTTCATCAGGCATCCATCCATCTCGCATCTTCTACATCGACTCCATTTACTCGTCCACAACTATCTCATCTCCTCTACATCGATTCCAACCACTCCCGCAGCGCATTCTCGTCAATCCGCGCGCACAATTCACAAAATTACCGTATCATTAGCAGGTGATTGGCAATAATTTTCGTACGCACAACAATTTGGCGCTGGCCGCCGTCATCCGAAATTATTGTCTGTCGTTCATTCACTCAATGACATAGCTGCTGCTATAAAACGATGAGGTTCGTCGTTTCGCTGCTCTCCGAAGCTGTCCTCAAGATAGAATTCGATTGTTTTTGCTATGCGATGTGCAGAGTGCACTTTCGTTGTGGCTAATGGAAACTTTGTATCGATGAAACTTCTTCTTGCTGATCGACGAATCTTTGAAATTGCTGTATTTTTGTTCGACTATTTCATCAGTGTTGAAACCATTCTTGCAAAGATTGAATTTTTGCAAAATTCGAGTTGTTTTCGAAGAAATGTTATATTTATTGTTGATGGACGGACAATCCAGCTGTTTTGACTCCCCAATAACTTAAGTCTTGCACAAAGCTGAAATCGATTTCTGACGATATGCTTCAGCTTGTAAACCTAATATTTGGCCACTAATGGAAATGAAGTCCTTAAAGCCTTTGTTTTGCTGTTACTCTTACTTTTGGCCAAGACTGTTTTTACTGTTTGTTTTTGCTCAAAATTGATCATTCATCACTTTATTCACGTGTCATGATCTTCGTATTTGCTCAATACCGTCATTTTGTATCAATTGAACTGACCTGTTTGCACTGGTTGTTACAGCTAGCTTGCAGGAACTAGCTCTATTTCCTTAAGCAACAGCAAATATCCGTCTCCGAACGATTCACATCTTATTCATCTCCATCATATCACCTAAATATCCCATTTGAATGGTTTGCGAGCAGTATTGATTGTTTTCTGTGATGTTATTCAAATGTATCGTAACCCCCAAAAAGAACACGTGTTTGTCTCTTTTGCTTTTTTTCATATGAATAAATCAAATGACTGATTTGAAACACCAAAAAAACGCATCAAATGGTGGATATGCTGACAATGCTATGATACTTAAGGCGATAACACGGACACCTTATGGCAATTAGTCAGTTTGCGTTGTCTTCTTGTATGTTGCATTTATTGCTGCACAAAAGTTTCTTTTATTGTTTCGCCCATAAACCAGCATTATTCAACAAATTTGCCTCTTACAATCGTATATATGTTACATAACAATCGTCAGTTCAGTCGTCTCTTCAAACAACAAAAAACTTAACACGTTCAAATGATTGATTGAACAATTCCAGAGGGCATTCGGTCAATCCTTTGTTGTCGGCCGATTTTGTTTCATCTTCGCTTTTAAGACGTTAAACACCGCGATTGCTCGTCGCTACCGAGCATTGAAAGTTCGTCCTCGTCTCAGTCATCATCCATCCTTTTCGAATCATCATTAGATTAGGCATCCAACCGAAATATTGTCGAATATTCTGCTGTGTTCTCATCAAAGGAGGATGGTGGTACTGATCAACGAACATTGTCACTATCTGGGTTAGTTGAGTGACTGCAAACGATTTTTGCTGACTGGAATTTTTCGAAGGGACTCAAAGGAAACAACCATCGCTAAACCTCAAAGTGTTTGTGGATCGATAAACTGCAAGTGTATTTTGTGAGAAAGAACGTTTGAAATAAGATGAAGAAATATTTGAATTGCGGTGTGCTTGTGCACAATGGAACGTGTTCACACATGAAAAACGTAGACACCAGGTGTGCCTCAGCCAGCTTATATTCACTATCATTGTCTATCAAGCGCATACAATCAAAAGATACTAAAAATGTGTTCTGTTCGTCGCCCTTGAAAAGCCAAGCTTCAACACCTATTTTCAAACCGCTAACCAATCAACAGCTTATATCTGTTAACAGATGATCGACAGCTAGCCCGCAAAACCACAAAAACCACAAATTTTCAAATTTCAAATCCATTGGAATGCTGCTGAAAATGGATTAACTGAATAACTGACTAGATGATGTGAAAAAGAAAGCGTTCTGCATGTTTATGCAATATATAAGCCAGAATTCCTTGAAAAGAAACGGCTAAAAAGCTCCATTGACCAATACATTTTTGTCAGTGAGATGTGATGAAAGATTACTTGGGATTCACGGTTATCAGTGATGTTAAGTTGAGGTGAAGGTCGTTCTGGCATTGTGCTGATTGCGTGCACGGGAAACAAACGCGCGTAATGTTTTGGTTTTAGTTGCGGGTGTCAGCCTTATCACCAAAAACGATCACGCGCTCAATTCTTATCTACTCTTTATCTGGATCTCGTATTCTATTGGCCTCATTCCCTTCCTCTTCTACTGCTGTCACCTTTCACTCAATGTTACGTATTTTTTCGCGTTGTCACACGTTCCCACATGTCCGTAACGCTGATGATAAGTTTATATTGACGTTGACAGCATCATTC